CTGTTTGTGAGCTGCTTTGAGGGCTGGTGAAGTGCGTTGCTGGTTCTCATACATTTCTTAGAGGACGGATGCTTTATAGAGCATGCAAAGGATTAGTTGAGGATATTTGCTTTCATGGCATTTGTGTTCCTTTAGAACTTGTAAGTAATACTGAAAGTTAAGCCTATACAAAGAGCACTGCATGCTTTTGACACGTTTTTCACAGGGATGGTTACGCTTTTTCCAGTATTCATAGACTACATTTTTGTGAAACACAGGTCCCTTCCCAAGGCCGCATTTGTTCTTTGGTTACGTTCTCTCTCTAGCACTGACACTGAGCTGCTGGATGAAATTAAGCCAGTGATTTTTTTTTTTGTGTCTCTCTTTACTTCCAGTTTTACTATGTTTATACCACACAGTATTTGGTATGAGGTCTGTTTCTTCCCACATTTAGTTACAGCTGCATACCACCTGCCCTTGACTCTGATGAGCACCTATAAAACGTGTCCCTGCCCATACACATTCTGGTAAACAAGATGCTGTGAGAGAGGTATGTTCGTGATGGGGACACTCCAATTTCACCTACAGCAATAAAAACTAATTCTTACGTGTAAGACAGTTGGCCATCTATATATTATTGCCAAATGTAGTTTGATTTTTGGGGTGTTTGGGTTTTTTTATGGGATAGGAATTTGGTTTTGGCTTTTTTAGGTTTTGCTTTGTTTTTTTTATCCTTCTCTCCTTCTTTACAGAGCCTTCTTTAATGAGAAAAGCTGAAGATACCTCACTGGCTTCAGTATGAAATGCAAAATGTTGTGTTACTAAGTAATACTTACCACCACAACCAAGTCAGAAGGGGCTTTCGCAAAAGAAAAGCCTCAAACAGTAAATGTGACGTGACAATATTTATTGATTCTAATTAAGGTTAAAAAAAGTTCACAGCTGTCAGATAAAAATAACTGCAGAGCCTATTGAAATGGGAACTTAAGAAGGAAACCAAGGGAGACAGTCACCACAGAGGCACTTGAGAAAATGCTACAGTTATAAAAGGCACAAATTCATCACACACACAGCATATATATTCCTGCAAAGGGAAGTCACTCTTTTTTTCCAAAACACAGAGGCAGGCACCACTGAACACTGACCTGTGCATGACCACAGGAGCGGCAGTCTATGACAACGTCTAAACGATTTGACTGTAGAGATACTTTGAAGGCAAAAATGCTTCGGCCATCTCCTTTTTATCTCTATTGAAGAACAGATTGTAAGATCAAGGTGATCTTAAGGTTGTGGAGATGGGGGAGGGAATGTTAGCCCATTTAAACACAGGTAAGGTTTATTTGTGAGCACTTGTTATCTGCGATTTAAATGGGCTTGCTTCTTGCCTGAGAGCAGTGGCAGATCTGTTGTCATTTAATCCTGGCTCCCTTTTGCATCCAAGTACTTTTGGAGGACATACAATTCCTTCTTCCTCAAAAACAGATTTCTTTCATGTCTCAGGAAAAAAAAAATTCTTAAAATTTCTGCACTTCTTTAAAGTCTACCTCAGTGAAACAATAGTGCCACTGAGGACACAGGAAGATCATTTTAATAGAAGTCCCTAGCTTCTCCTCCAGGCCTTGGGATCCAGTGATGGACAATGCTCAGACACATACTTAATTGTGATTAACGTCTTTGTTGTATTGACAGCAGATGTGCTATTTGGAATCAAGATCTGCATTGAGAAAAAAAAATCACTAGTTAAAGGAAAGCCAAGGGGCTGCCTCAGATTGCTCACTTCCTTGTTATTGTCGAGTAATTTACACAACTAGCTTTCAAGTACTTTGGTTAACGCAGATTTTCATGCCATGACCCAACATCCTTTGCAACATACATTTGCTATCAGAACAGTGTACAAGCAAGTAGACATCTTTTTTTTTTTGCAAACTCTTCAGAGCCTTACAAAATATGCATGATAACACAATCAGTTCATAAGAGACAAATACAATTATTTCCATGGTTGTTCCTATAATACATTTTACGAAGCTGGTAAACCGCTGCAACTTTCAAGATAGCAGATTTCTCATCAAACATGTTAATAAATTAAGAATATAGCACGACTGGTTATGCATTAAACCAGACTCCACTCCTCTCTTTGAAGGGTTGGCACGAAGGAATTTTAAAAACGTAAGCCAGTGCTAACAGTTCCCTTTACCCATGGGGAAGCAACTTGATTCTCTACCTACATTTGTCAATTTTCTCATCACGCTGGCATCCACATACACAAAGTGCCACATATTCCTTTTATGTGGAAGATGTCGAGAAAACAGCAGCAAATCCTTCTTTTTAATCCCATAGTGGTGACAAGCTCCATGGCATAATCGTAGCGAGACACGGCTGTAAAGACAAAGAGAGCATTCCTAATGCTTTGGCAGTCTGGAAGGAAGAAGACAGAGACTTTCGAGAGCTAAGACAAATGTTGCAATTCAGACCTCCCAGCTCCATCAGATTTGGCTAGAAATCTCAGGGGATCCAATTGAGATTTCAAGTCACACCTACTTTTAGTTGTGGCAGAATAACATGAGAAACACTTTGTGGCTTTTTTTTTTTTTTTTCCATTTTTGCTTCACTTTGAAACAAAGAATAAGAAAGATTTATAACTATATACACTTTTTTGTAAAGCTCATGTAAAGCTTTGGTTATGATCCAGTTCAGTTCTAACTATACCTAACTTCTGTTCTTCGTTGGATATTCTTCCCCTGTGGCACACAACACTCTTGTTAGACTGGGAAAAACCTCTGCCAGATTCAGGAGCAAAGAAGAGAGAGATATATTTTGGACGTTAATAAAACCAATTTATCCTAATTAGTTTCATGGATCTGCTCCCCTTTAGAGACCTACAGCATATTTCCGGGGCAGAAGCTTGACTGCAATTCAAATAGTTTCGACAGAAATCATCTGCAAATGCAGCGGTTCTTTATATGTTAAGTATGTATTCACCACCTAGCACTTACAAATATTGGGCTAAAACTTTAAAAATGTCTTCCCAAATTCAGGTTCCTATGTTCATTTCTGGCCTGAGAACCATCTGAGTTGCAAAAGCTCTGAACTTACACAGTTCCCATTCAGCTTTCGGTTCCTAATTCATTTAGTAAATAAATCACACAGAGAGAAAGCCACGCAGAAGCACTCCGTGGTAGGCAAATGTCCCAGCCAATTAGTGCTCTGTGTGATACGATGAGAAGGGCCATATGTACATGCTGCACTGTTCTTCTGACTTAAAGATCTTTATGTCTGAAAAGTTCCCCTATGCATTTTAAAAGGCTGTTATGAGGATATTCGTTTGTGATAAAATCCAAGCTGCTGCTACAAGACGACTTTTAACTGACACATCAAGTTAAAAAGAACGAAACCTAAGGGCCAGAAACTGATGCACCGTTCACAAATATTACAGCTTTGGAAGTAGTTCAGTGGATTTCCATGAGACTATTTGGAGAATGAGGTACTACTCTGCACAAGCAAGACCAGATGATAGCCCAAAAAGCGTGCCTGAGACTTGTGATACAGTTCCTCTACCGTCTGCTCAAATCGGTGGATGAATAGATTCTTATTATACTTCCCTCTATGGCTTTTTACTGCCACATAATTTTTTGCTTATAAATCATCACTGGTTGAAGGTAGAAGCGCAGCAAACGGGCTCAGAAAAATTCCACACATATGACTTTTCTCGAACTTCATGTGCACCAAATCCTGTTCTCAGATATACCAGCTTCCTGCTATACAGTAAACAGAAAACAATTATACCAGCAGAAATACCTAGAACAAGGTACTGTGATGTTGACAGGCAGGCACCTAAGGTTCAGTGGTTGGGGTTTTTTCTTTCTTTTTTTTTTTTTTTCTTTTCTTTTTAAATCTTGTTTGAAAGGTACCAAGCTAAGGAGGACAGAACACTTGCATGTGACTATTCTATCCATGGTTCCCTTTGATCTCTCTATCATTTAGATCCTTGATTAGTTACCAAAAGTGCACAGTCTGAGGAACAGAGCACAGCAGGCAGAAGTGGAAGTGCTAATCACATCAATATGGTTGTTAGGAGAGACTGAAGCTCTGAATCAGCTAAGCTGTGTTCAGCATGAAGCAAGTGCTGGGGGGCAGATAAAGTTGTTTGGCTTTTTTTTAATGCTACGTTTTCAAGCCCATTGTGCCCTACCAGGCAAGAGACAGCCTCAAGGTGTTTGAAGTATCTATCTAAACAGATGAAGGAAAAGGAGGAGATAACAAAATGATGTAAAGGAGTTTTTATGAACAGCCTTACAACTTCCTGGGGTAGGCAGAGGTTAGTTCATTCTCGTGCTATCTTGCAGCAACTTAGAGAGCTAAAAGACGACCTTGGAGGCAAACAGATGTCAGACACGGTGAAAAAGGTTGGAAAGGCTGCGCCTGTACCATCACATTAGCACAAGACTCCCCATTCACGCGCACAGGTCCAACAGTCTCTGATCAGCCATACTGCTGTATGCATTGGCCACGTGTTAGCTACAGCCTACCAGTTTTCTAGGCAGAGGAGATCTGATCCTGCATAGGGAGGCACTTGACTTGGACACGAGCTCCTTTGTTCCAGGCAGTGTGGGCACAGTCAGGGAGCCTGAAATTCAACTCCATTGCCAAAGGCAGCAAAAATGTTGTCCTTTAACTCACTGTAGGACAAATACACCATTGGAAATGCTAACAACCTATGGCCACTCTTACATAGTTCAGATGGATAAATTGAGCCTGACTTGTCTCTTAGGTGCTGCCTGGGCTCTGGACATCTGGGTGGAAAATGAAAACCACTAAAAAGATCCTCACCAGCAATTTGCATTAACTAGTTAATTATTCTTTAAGCTATGTATTTCTTTTCTCAGCCCACCACACAGGAAGGTAGAAAACCTTTGTTTACAACTAGAGATAGAAGTGCCTGTGAAGACTGGGAGTTCAGGGTCTAGTTCAGATCTAAGTTTAAAAACAACTGGAAATCTCATCAGAACAGGCTTCATAGAGGAATTTTGTCACTTCTGTTCTGAGATCTGGATAAAAACCTCAAGGTGATAACACCTGGCAGGGTATCCTAGAAATTCAACAACAAAGTTACTGCTAGAAGTAGGCCTGGATTCAAGGGGTTCTTTTTAATATGGATCCTCTTTCCTCTATCCCTCCCCTCCAGCCTCTTCTCTCTACTGTTTTCTCCTCTTCTCTAGTCCTGACCTGATTCTGAAGGCAGGGAAGTACATGCCAAAAAACCCTCTGAAAAAAAGAAAACCACAAGTGTGGGGCTTTGCGTTGGCACCTTTTTCAGTTTCGAACCAGAAGTCCCTTTTTGTAGGCCAATAACCCTGCTGCAGCCACAGAGGTGAAGAAAGTGGAAAATCCAATCAGCTTTAGCAGTCCTGGCACAGACGGCAAGTTCCTCTCCCAGAAGGTTGTAGTGATGGGCAGAGCTGGAACATCCTGTGGGGAGAGCATCCATTATCAACATAACGTCTCCACTGTGAAAGGCAGGATGTAAATCAAGAGATTCTTCCAGCAGAAACGGAACTGGGTTGAAGCAGTTCACAATGTGAATAAGTACAGTGTATCAAAATTTTCAGCTCAGTTAAAGACAAGAGGAAGAGACAAATGGAAAGGATCCATAGGCCAGTTAAAAAGTACAGTTCTCTCTGATCCCACATTACAGCGTTGTCAGATGGATGCCCTCGCTGAACTTCTATCATGTTTCTGTTTAGGGAAGGGCAGTTTCCGTGAGTAAAGGGAAGATTATTGTGGCTTTGGTTTAGTGAACTTAAATAAAAACAGCCAGCAAAATTTTATTTCATCAGCAAAAACGCAGAAAAAAAAATAATCCATTTAATCTACAGAAAAACTTACAATTGATTCAGGTTCGGGCTTCCAAATTTCACTTTCTGGGATTTTCCTCATAGCAAATAGTATCTGAAAATAAATAACATTCTCTAGTAAGTACCATTCTTTCTTTGAAAGGGGGAAAAAAAGCTGGCTTCAATTTTTGTTTTAAAATGGCATGATGAAGATAACAATTGAGCACATAAATCTCTGTGTGTTCAAATTTTAAAAGAAAACTCAACCTTTGTACAACTCATTTCTGAGGAAGCCTGATATTTAATTAATTTAATAATTTAATATTTCTATGTTCCTAGTGGAACATAGAAACAGTAACAGAAAAACCTCTCTATGCTTAGTTAGTCCACGCAAGGTACCGGAACTTGACTAGTTCCATGGGAACAGGATAATATGAATATGACTAAGAGTCAAGAATACACTCATGGCAAAGTGCAGTGTGCATGAACCAGCCACTGCATGAGCAAGCTGTATAGCCAGGAGCAGCGTGTTTTGCAAACTTTACCATGATGTAGGAAGGGGAACAGAATCCTGTGAGTGATGACAGACCACCGCTTTCAGCCAGAGAAAAGCAAAACTAAAAAGAAAACCTTCACAATGGAGAAGTAACCATTTAAAGTATCAACAGATACCAGAGATGAGAAGGATAGCAAAGATTATCTGAAATGATAAGACATGAAAGATAGCAAAATTAACTTCTTCTACAGTAAAATAAAATGGAGGTGGTGATTTTAATGCTTTTCCTATTCCAGGCACTTGCAGATTTAACAAGATTCGCCGTCTTCTGTGATGGGCTTTTATTCTAGACAAGAATCACGGACCCTGCAAACTTTTCAGTACAGGAGAGTGAAAAACACTCTTGCACTGGATTTTAAACATATTTTCCTTTCAAAAGTAAATAAGGAAAGGAAAACAAAATTTTCTACCAGTCAAGCTCACTTGCCAACTTCTCTCCTGAGGCCTATGGAGGTTCTGCTGTAATGTCCTTACACGAGAGAGGTCATGAAGCACTACCTCTGGAGGGTTTCAGGAACAGGTTAGGTATAACCTTCACAAATGGGACAGTTTAGGGACAGTTGATCCCTGTCTTTTGGGGCAGAGATATGGGCTAGACAAACTCTCCGGATCCCTCCCAGGCTAATTTCTGTTCCATAACTGTAGTTTTTAGCCACAATTTTCCCTTCACCTCATAAAACAAAGACAAAATTTCTTTTGCAGCTCCATAAACTGTAATATTCCTGAAAATACTTGAGGAATTGGCATTTTCTCAGAAGCAAAATATTTAAGTCCTTGTTTAATAACTTTATGTAAGGCTGTGTCACTGGTATTGTTGGAAACAGTTGAGGAAGGAACTAGCTTGGTGTGCAGAGCTGCAGAACTGAGCTGATCCTAGTGAGGCTAATGGCCATTGATCTCTCAGTACAACAACTAATAAAGAGCCCATTTGGGGGAAAAAAAATCACTAGGTAAGAATTTGGGATTTCTGTTAAAGAAGAAAGGATTTCATATCTGGAAACAGAGCAGAGTTTGATGAAAATAGACAGAGCCCTTCCTAAGCATTCCAAATCTAAGTGCAAAAACCTTCATCCTTTTTGAAGCCTATCCCCTTTGCAGGGATTTGCATCAAGATTCCAGAACGCCTGAAGCTGTCAACACTCAGTTCTCGTTTCACTTCCAACCAAAAGATCTTTCATTTTCCACAGGATATTTGACAGTGCCCCCTGTTTTGGGCTTGTGTCCGTACCTCTCTGGCTGCTCTTTCTCCAGCCTGTACAGCCCCCTCCATGTATCCGCTCCACTCTGTGGCTGTCTCTGTGCCAGCAAAATAGATTCTGCCAATGGGCTGCCGAATAATCCTGGAGGGGGACAAGCAGTAAGTCACATCAGTCATATCAGGAAAAATAACTGAAATCCTTGGCTTAATATCAGAATAAAAGTTTTTTAAATAGCAGCAAGCACTTCAGGATAGTAACATTAGGTGAGCTGAGCTCAAGGGTGAGTGTGCATTGCACTTCATTTCTTACGGTAAACACACCAGTGTTCATATTTTCTAAACATTTACATTGCAATTCTTGCCATGTTATTTCTGGTTCTGAATTTAGTGCTCATAGGTGTGAAGGACAATTAGCTTGAGAGGAGGCTTATTCTATCTCATGATTTTAGCCAGTGTCATAAATACCAATGCTAGACATTACTGGCACAGTGTAGCATCCTGAAGTACATCCCCATGATATCTAAAGTAACATGCAAAAAAAAAAAAAATTAACCTATTTTTCCCAGAATTTGCAATACTTATCATTAAAATTACTTCAAAAATTAAGGCCTCCATATGCTCTTCATTACAACTGCTTTATTGCTCAAAGTTCTCTTTAAATTGTGAAAACTTAAACTTCAAAAGTAGAGCTATGCCACCACATTAAAAACTATTTATCTGAATCTGATCACTGGTCTGACCAGCAAGCCTTTTTCTGTTTGGTAAATCTTATTTTCGTGCAAAAACTTACATTGGAAAGGACTGTATACAATGGCACACTGATTACTATATTAAGCCTTGACTGCTAAAAGGAAAGGAACAGTCCAAAGAACTCACTCATTACTGTCAGTGTTGGCAGGAATTAACTCTCTACCAGAAATCATGGAAAACCAGCTAAAGATGTGCCAGAAATGGTAACACCAATTTCAAATACCCAATGCCAGATTTGTAAACAGACTGTGAAAACTTCCCAACTCCCTTATAAGAACCTAGTCAGCTGTATTCAACAAATAGCAAATGTCAATAAAAACCCCTAATGATACTGCACTCATCCATCATAAAGCCCCAACTGAGACAAGTGGAAGGTTATAATATAAGGTTTAAAATATCGCCCAGTGATTTTAAATGTATAAAGTGAACAGTGACAGAGGATTTATGACCCTTTCTGAGGATATTTATTAACTTGGTCTTATTACTCCAAAGCCCACTATAAATAGACACTGTACCTTCCATACTGAGTCATTATGCCTGGTGGGAAGTAGGCTGTGTAGCAGCCCCCAGAATACTGCTCTTCACACCAGTTCTTCTCTTCATAATGCACTGCCTGTAAAACAGAGATTAATTCACTCAAGGAAAGGACAAAGTCCTGAGGAAGCTGATAAAAGAACCGAGGAGACACCAGAGAAGAATAGCTTGTGATTTGTTGCATGTCGACATCTGGCAAGACAAGGACATGCAGCATGGATCCAACACAAAAAGCTTTCATTTTAGACACTGCTACCTATTTTTTAAAAAAACCTAGCTAATCTGGCCACTGTAGAACGTAATCCCTTTAATCCGACAATGTAAATTTTTCCTTTGAGCACAAATGTATGCTTTCAGTCTTGTAAAGCAAAATTAACCTCTGGTGTACACAGGTATAATACTTGCAATGTGTACACTGGACACAAATATATACTTTTAAAAATGCAAAGTCTGGCACTTGCACGGTTCTGCGCACAGTACTATTTTTTTTAAAGTGGGGTAACCTCAAGATTGGTGTCTACAACTTTTAACTCACATAAACTTGCCCTTAAAGGACAGAGGGTGTTGATCACATAAACTAAGTGTGAGATCACACAAATCCTATCAGTTATTTACCATTACAGAGAAGAGAAGGCAAGGGAAAGGCAAAACTAAAAACATACGCAGCAATGGATCTTAGCAACTAGTAAGAGGGAAGAAACACTCTTGCTCAACATAGACTGAGAGGGAAAGGCAATCCTGTCACATCTGAAAACAGTTGAGATGTATAGTAGTAAGCACTGTGAATGCCACCCATGAAGCTGCACATACCTGCCTTTTAACTGTTTCATAAGCTCATTGTTATCCTCACTGTCAAACACAACCCAAAATTTGCCATAACCTTCTCTCCACAAGGGCAGCAAGCCCTCCCATGGCAGGTACCTTTTCCAAATACTCTGCAGCACTGTGCTGGAGCACTGCTGCATTCCAATTTCTCTCTGCTGTTCCCCAGCTCAACGAGTCTGACAAGAGACACTGGTTTAGATTTTGTGCTTACATGTAAAGCTTCCTCTGATCCCAGAACTTTTGCATACAGCTCACACAGCCTCGTCTTCCTGCAAGAGAAAAGCAACAGAAGACTTCTTTGTAAGAAAAGAGAAAACAAACGGCTTCTAATATGTCCTAGTTTCAAGAGAACAAGTATTAATATCAGCCTGAACCTGAGGTTCCAGCTTTTTGGGATCTATCCTAATTGCTCAGCCTCTGGATCACTAGAAATAACTCAAACTTCTGTGCAGCAGAAGTGCCAGTTTTACTAGCAGTTATGCAAGCTGTTCCCTTAAGATACCTCTAGCAGCCCAAATTCATATATTATCCAAAGGTTTTCTAGGCTGTCAGGAAAACAAAGTAGTAAGGCATTGCACTTTTTTTGTCTTGGCACATAGTCTGACTTATGGTTTGTTCCTACAAAGATGCAGGTATTGATAGCCTGAGGCTCTCAGGGAATCAGTACTTTATTTCTGTATCTATAAAATTTACTCCTGTTTTAGTTTATGAGTCTATAAATCCATGAATATACTTCATTCTGTAGCAAACCCCAAGTGCAATTAAGTTTGCTCCTATGAGCTTTCGGGTCTTAACTGTTTACTGTTAGCCGCACTGCACCAATTCCCAAACACAAGAAGATCAAGATGAAATAGCAGTTAACAATTACAAAAAACAAACATGCAAACACAACACTGGAAAGATGTTTACTTCTGGAAGCAAATCCTGTGCTCCACAGAAAGCCATGCTGGGCACAGAAATACAGCAGTTCCAGCTCTGTAACTGTATGGGCTACACTTGCACCTATATAAGCATATGAGGAAACCATATCTATACTGCTGTATGAAGCAACTTGGCTACTCAGGGGCTGTCCTGGTTTTAGCTGGGACAGAGTTAGCTCTTTTTAGCAGCTAGAAGAGCTCCGTGTTTTGGTTTTACACAGAGGCTCGCTCTAAGAATGCTGACAGTGCACTGATGTTTGTAGTTGGCACTGAGGTCTCAAGGACTTTTCAGCTGCCGTGTTCTTGCCAGTGTGCAGGAGCACAACAGGATAAGGGGGGAGCATGGCTGGGACAAGGGGTCCACGACTCTCCTTACGAACTAAAGATTGAGGCCCAAACTGGCCAATGAAGTATTCCATATCATGCAGCGTCATGTCCAGTATAAAAGTGAGGGTCAGCCGGGAAGAAGGGCTTTTGCTCTTCCGGGACTCTCACTTTCGGACTCTCAGAGTGCTTTCTCTCTCTCTGTCTCGGGGCCTCCCAAGTTTTATACGTTTCGGGATTGCAGCTTCGTAACGAGACGGGCCTCGGTCAAGGGGTGGTGAGCAATCACACTGTACATCACTCGTTTGTATATGTTTATCCTTGTGCATATCTGTATATATATACATACATTGGTAGCGGTAGTAGTAAATTGTTCTTATCTCAACCCTTGGGTCTCTTTTCTTTTTCCTCTTTGATTCTCTCCCTCATCCCTGGGGGTGGGGAAGGGTGAGAGAGGGACTGTGTAGGGTTTAGTTGCTGGAGCGGCCTAACCCATGACAGGGGCCCAGCTATATCCATGAGTAGCTGAACTCAAAGAATGCTATAGAAAGGAAATGGAGAGAAAAAAAAAAAACAGGAAGACCTGAAGGGCCTTGAAGAAGGTTTCTTCCTGTGCAGGTTGGGGTTTGAGCCAGAAAGTGAAGGCTGCTACAGGAGGAGCCATGGCCCTGGGGTGATTTTGCTGCTGGCAGGTGTCAAGTCCAGCAGCAGCAGAGGAAAAGGAATTGACCCCTTTCTTGTGCCCTGGGGTGGAGGACAAGGGTCAGCCTGCTCCAGAAGCAGAAATGCCTGGTGATGCAGTGACTAGCCAGGAGGACTCAGAGATCTGCAGGATCTACATATGAACATCCCTCTGCAGTCAGGGGGTTGACATGAATCCAGCAACAGCCATAACAGAAGGGATCATTTCCTTTACCTCTCTCCATCTCTCCCTAAGTGAGGTGACCACTGTGCCCTGCAGACCACCAGCACCTACCCAGTCTCTGAACAGAATAAAGCCATTTTAACAGCATGATCCAGCAGAGCCTCTGCTGAGGTCTCTCACCACCTCTCACAATGCCCACTGCCTCCTGCTCTCAGGGCAGGTCAGTAACACCACAGGGCTCCATAGGAAAGTGAGTTATCACCTTGGGAGCCATCTGCTTCTGCTCCTCTCAGCACCAAGACAGCGATGAGAAGGACCTCTCTAGATCTGCCTGTGCCCTGACCTTTTTACACATGTGACTTGCAGACTCTTCAGGGAACCTGGAAATGGCATAGCAGAGGCTGTCAGGGATTTCTCACGTGTGGCCAACCGCACGGCTCCAAGCAGGTGCAAGTTCACTGCTGTTTGCTAACTACATTGCAAATATAAATAAAGTTAGTTTAAGATAGCTGTGCAAAAGAAAATGCTAAGCTTCAGGTCAAGGGCATCTTCAGACTCTTAAGAAATTTTTACCTTCAGAGGATTAATTAATCAAGAAGAAGATATTATTTAACAGAAAAAAAACCTCACAGAAATTCAGTTTCTGAAGGACAGAATTGTACCAAGAGTAATTTATCACTGAGGAGGACATTCCCCCTAATAAAGCAATCCTTGCAGATGCGCTGGTCTCTGCAACATCTGCACTTTCTGTCCTAGAACAGTTTAAATAAATACTTACAGATTTATGGCTAACGCTAGCATGGAACATAAGGATTTTACTGACTGCATATTCCTTATTTCTTGGCTTTGGGTTCAGCTGTGAAATTGTCACCAGCAATAAATAAGAGGAGTGTTATCCCTGAAGCTAACTAGATATGGTCCTGTTGAGAGTTAGACTGTGCCCAGTGTGGAAGAAGTGCACATTCAGACACTCGGCTCTCTCCCTGGTCTTTTATTCCACGGCAGTGTGTGATGTCATCACAATTCCTTGCACAGCTGTGAAAGGTAGTACACAATCTAACCGCTGTAATTACTCATTGGCACCTGACCTCTGAAGAGCAGCTGGAAGGCAGCAGTGAGTTTTACTCCCTTCAGTCTGGCTTAGGCTGTAAAACAGTTTCCATCCCCTCCCACAACTGCTGTTCCCAGTCATGATTTAGGATAGCTGCCACGGGCTCTACATCCTACTCTTCATATCCAAGGATTACTGAAAACCTATCCTGTCATCAGTGTGATAAAGGAAGAGTCCAGCTTGTGTTGATAGGTGAGCACAGCATCTCAGGGAGATATGTCCTCTGTAAGGTGCCACAAGAAGCCTGTCCTCAAAAGAGATCCCTCCCTGCAAACACCATAGCCCTCATCTGAACAACACAAACTGGTTGTACCCTGAGTGTACGCTGGGAAAAGGTCCAGGTTCACGCTTAGCCTTCTCCTGGACACCAGTTTCCACTGGAAGGAGACTTGTGCTCGTGTGCAGGAGAGGAGCTGCAATGCAGCCCAACGGGTTCCTGCCTTGGTCAGCCGTGACCAGGACTTTAGGAGCCAGAGGCACCCCTGCACAAAGGTACCTCCTTCAGGTACCAACCCAAGCATATTTCATAACCATTCTTTACCAAAGCAAAGCCCTTCCTAGTCTAAGGTTTATTCAAAGGACGAAGAGTTCAAAATCCTTTTGTTTAAAACTTGGCCATAGGCAGCAGCAGAGTCAGGTAACTGTGCGAGTGCTCTCAGTGCCCAGGGGAAAGCCACCTTTCCTTCATGGTGCCTTGCAAACAGCCAGGACAGCCCTTCATTTCACAGAAAGAGAAGCTGTTCTCAAATACTCAGTTGTATCTAGTATCCTGACACATAGTGTACGACACAATTTGTTGTTTATGATGGCTTACAATATTGCGAACACTGGATTTCAGAATATCTACACTACTTTTATCATCAGTCACCTGCTGGGGGTCTATCTCAAAGCCTGAGCGCTGAGGAAATGTCTGCCTTGTCCATTCCTGCCAAAATTAAAAGTGCTCTGTGGTACCACGCTGTCATTTGAAGAGACTAGGACATTAACAACCCCATTTAGACCCGTTATCCACTGACTGCTAGACTATCTGTAAAGCTAACCTGAGATGACTACGTCTTCCCTAGTTAGACTACCTATTACTGTAAACATGTTTACTTGGACAGAGTATTCCTTGTGGCATGCTTTAAAAACAAATGTTTTTTCTCCATATCAAAATAAGACTCTCCTCATATCCACACTCTTTACTTGTAGCTTTAATTTGATCAGACACTGTGAATCAGTGTGGTGGAAAAATCTCATTACTTTGTAAAATTCTATTTTAGTAATAAACAAAAGAGCATTACTGTATGAAGAGTTTTTTTTCAACAAGACAGTAAAAAAGACCTCCATCTGTGCCTGAAGGGCATTTTTTCTCATAACTGAGTTTGCAGAGCTGGAGGTAGCTTTTTGACCCCTTCATGATGTCGACGTCTCGTTCATGGCAGCTACAGCAGCCCCAAGTTTACAGACACTGTAAGGACCCTCCAAGGTGACTGGAAAAAAAAAAATCAAGCACAGCAGCCAAACCTGTCCCTCCTGACAAGCTTTCAAAGAGCTCAGCACACTTGCAAGAAGTCAGAGAGGTAGAAGAGGGGAGAGATGAGGCTGACCATGGATGCTTTCCAGGGAGGGCAGCAGAATATCTACACTACTTTCATAGTCAGCAGCTTAGAGCAGTTCTTTTGCGAAAGTCACATAAGCAGAGCAGCCCTGCTGGAAAATGAGAACCAGGACCTGAGAGTGCCCAAAGGGCAGGGGCTAGCTACCACATCTGCTGCCTGTTTGTGGGAATTCTCTGGGGTCTTCATACAAAAACAAATAAGAGATCTTCTTCCTTGAAGTGACGTGTCCTCCTATTGTTGCAAAATTACAGACAACTTGTTTGAAATCAAGACATTTTTTTCCTGCACTACTCATTTATAACAAAAGTTTGACTCAGATTCCATGCAGATCTCCAGTGTTTGTACTTACCTTTCTTCTTTTGTGAGACCGGTCAGTCTTCTACACTTCCGAGCAAGAATGAAGCTGTAAAAAGAGGAAGACCACAAACAGTTTACTTCCATTATGTTACTACATTTTCTGCATTATTTAAAATGCCAATACCTTATGATGAGATGCTCATAATTCATAGTATTAGCTTTTGGGTCTCTATCCAAAAAATCCATTTCACCTCTCTGTATAACATTATATGCTATGCTTGTTGCTTGCAGGACTCACTGTTGAAGGAAGCACTCTGAGATTCAGGTTAGAACATTTGTATGAGCTGTTTCCCAATTGCCTTAATTTTATACAGCAATGCATGCAGGCATATAACAACAAGAGGTAAAGCCTGGGATTGAGCTGGAAATTATTGTTAAAAAAAGCTTTCTAAGACTGATCTTACTCTCTGGCTGTTTAAAAAAAAAAAAAGCAGAACAAAACAAAATATAATTCTAGAAAGCAAATTTTCATTTAAAGAACTGGAAGATTTGGGAGAGGCAAAATATTTGGAGAAAACTTCACATTTCTGCAATCACTCCCTTTTCTTCTCTTTTCTTTCCTCTTCTCCAATTTTGTATTTTGCTACACAAAAAGGCAATAGATAACAGTAAGAAAAAGAGAAGAAAATTATAATTTATTATTTTTAAATTAGCAACTAAATTGTAGGAAGAATTGTTCTGAAAGTAAAGTTCATAGAACATATTCACCACACACTGAGAAACTCAACTCTTTAACTATTTTAAAGCACTTTCCTTCAAAAGTAGCAGGTTTTCTGTTTCAATTGTTGCCTCTAAGGCAAAATAAAAAGGCATTAACTAGACACCTTCTTTGTCTCTTACCCTATTATGGCAGGAAAGCTGCCATCAGGCTTAGTATCATCAAGTGTTAAACCAATGGCAGCATCCTCATCTTCAATGATCATGGTACCACAATACCCTGGTAAGCACAAAGAAGAAAAGAAGTTTGGATCCATGTATCCAAATGTAGGACCGAGCTTCCAGGAAGCTGTGAAATACTCAGAACTTGACTGCAAAAAGCCCTAAATAAATGGTCTAAATTCACCCTGATTTGAGCAAGGCATTGGACTAGATGACATCCAGAGGTCCCTCCCAATCTCTATTATTCTCTGATTCTGATTCTAATGTGGAGACATATGAAAACAAAGGAAAGAAGAACAAAAAAATCCAAGTAAAGCGATCCCCATCAATTGACCGAGATTAGTGCACAGCTTCCTTGCAGTGTGGTGTTCCTTTGGCAAAGAGAAGTGCTAGATCATCTCTAGAAGAGAAAATTCAGATCTGAGATGTGCTGACAATTAACAATCCTTTTCAAGCATCTTTAAAATAGAAAGTCAATAAAGGAATCTCCTATTGTTGAATTCAGGGTAGAAAAATAAATTATTCTGCAACCTGGTTAGCAAGGTAATTATTAATTCCATAGAAACAGTTTGCTCTCAGATACTGAAGATGTTCAAGTGCCTCCAGCACAATTGTTTCTGTATATGACATTTATGTCAGACATAGAAGGAGATATTTGTACATTGTTTTGAAAACATAATTGTTCTTAAAAGAAGAGTTTGAAGAAAATAAATAGTTCTTAAAAGAACAACAGTGTTAGCAAAGCACAGTATGCAAACTATGGGTTCTACCAGGAAATGGGAGTGACCTCTTGCCAATCCATCCCAAATCTAACAGCCAGAACACGCCAGGATCCAGAACTCTTAAATTCATTCACAGAGATGAAGGGTGGGTGACATTTGTAGACAAACACAGATGTGGACTCTTTATAACCAGTGAAGAGAAATGGGTGCTATTACATTGCAGACTGTTTTAGATTCAGTAAGTTCTAAAAAGAGATCTGAGAAATCGTGATGGAAGTATTCAGCATGTAAAGTGAGTGCGGGATGGTAAGCCCAGCTGGAGATGTCTATGGGAAGACACTTTAAATTAATCCTGCCCAGTGCATCCAAAAGGCAGAGTTTTCAGAGGCTGACAACTGTTGGGATAAAACGTCTCTCCATCACGTATCACTTGTACCTTTAGATTACAAGTGGGAGAGACTTATCTCATACTCAGGTGCCTCTGAAGGAAAAGGAGAGGACAACAAAGAACAACCAAGGCAATAAGCAACAGACATGAGTTCTCCCTTCACGCCTAGCTCCTTCCTTTTTATTCTCATATCCACCCCTCTCTTCCTAACAGATCTCTCGAGTTTCTCCAACAGGGAAAGGCAAAAATGGCATAGAAGTGTACGACGTCTCCTTCTAAGGTCCAGCATCTACCAAACACAAAGTCTACTCGATTACCATGTACCTTCTTCCCTCTCTCTGTCACTACGATTCCCTTCAATTAAAATGTAATACCCTTCTTCCTCCAGAAAGTTTCCTTATAGTACACAATGCACTTGATGACTGAGCCCATGGGGACTCGGTTGATGAGCTGGTTTCTCATTGGCGGCAAAGGTGGGTTGAAATGAATCTTCAAACCAAGAGCTGGAGGAATGGCACTGATCACGTATTTGCTCTGGAAAAGAAATTATACATAAGCCAAATACATTCTCCACTACTTCATCCTAAGTATAGTGCTCTTATGATCTTGGCAGACATCTGGGGAGGCTGCAGGGTGTATCTTCTGAAGCAATTTTGGCATTTAGCGTAAGAATTGCAAAACTCAACCCTCACAAAATTCTGGTTGTTAAACAACAAACAAGCATTATATAAACAGCCATCTGTTCCAATGATGGGCAGCTGCTCTTTCCCCAGCACTTGAAAAAAGGCCAGCGGAAAGATTTTCTGTGTTACAAGAGTCCATCAGTCTCCCTTCCATCTGGACTCCTCTGTTACGGCTTGGAAGCAAACCTTGAAATGTTTTTCACAGAAAGTTTATTACTAAGCTACATTTTTGTGTTCACATCTATTACTCAGGGACAATGAGAAAGTGTAACTTTATGTCATAGTCACTTTAACCTCTACTACATTTTTGTACAGGACTTTGGAGAAGTCAAAAAGGAAAAGCTAAAGGTATTTTAGCCATCCCAGAACAAACAGTTGCTTAAATGTTAGAGGCTTCGTTACCTCATATAATTCATGATCTAAGGTTTCCACTATGACACTTTCACCCGTCTGGTCGATGCGAATGACAGGCTTCTTCAGCTTCACCCGGCCTCCCAGGCGCTCCATTATTTTCTCACTGATCTGGCCAGAGCCCCCAACAAATTTCCTCTCCTGAAACACAGAAAACAACACCTTGGCAAAGCAGAATGAGCAGAGCGATGCACGTGAAGCATTTATCACAACAAATGTTTTGCTTGGCATTCAAAACAAATTCCGTTCTTCTGTTGTTATCAAACCTTTCTAGGAAAGTTCAGCAGTCTCACTTGGAAAACATATTCACGTTCTGTTGTCTTTCAGCGAACTCCTCAAACATTTCCTGTATTTGACCATCAGCCAAAACTAGAAGTACCAGTAACCTCATGAGAAAACCCTTCTCAAGTGGTCTCCAAATGGATTTCACAGACCTGTGTGAATCAGCAAGACTTCTGAAAAGCGCTTAAACTTTTAAACCTTTGTCCTGAGTTTGCTTTTATACTTGTAGAGGTCTGTGCGTCAGAAGTAGGAAACCTCATCCTCATAATAAATAACGAGCTATAAGAAGAGATGTAGCTCACACCAAAAACGTATCCTGCAGTACGTAATCTAACCTAACCTGAACTCAAATCACCTCTACCACAACACAGAATTCAAATAATATTTTATGCAATGTATTTACAGTTAAATTACCTATAATCTTTGCTTATCTATGTGTATGTATGCATTTTAACACATTTTAATAGTCTTTGTATTTTTAGTTATTTATGACTAAATAATCTGCATTTCTAAAAATACAATTAGTAAAATTTGCATTTCTTAAGTAGAAGATAATCATTGAGTCTTTACTTTCTTAAAATGCAGAAGCAGCACTAATCTACGAGATTTTAAACATTTCAGAGCAATATCACATTTAAGCAGAGGTGTTCACTTTCTTCAGACTGATTTAAAAATCTTAACAGTTTTAACCCATGGAAGCTTGCGTCTTTAGGAACCCAGCTCTGGGCTACATTCTCAGTATTAATTTGGAGCGCCCTACACTCTTGTGCAGCTAGCGTTGCCATCTCCATTAAGTGCTTCTGAAGTGGTAAGGCTTGCTTCAGCCTCATGACAGAAAGAAACATAAGTTAAAACTTTCTTTTTTCAACGTGGATAAGCAAAGTACGTGTTCTAACCAGAGCCCAAAAGGAAGCCAGGGTCAGGAACTGATACAAATCTGCTGATCCCTGGGCAAACATCTTCAGCACAGGAACAGCCTTCAACACTAGGTTTGCAAGATCACGATTAGCATGTAAATGAACAGAACTAGTTATCAATGTACTACTGGCTCAAAATCATGGACATCTCAGTTGGACTTCTGAACTAAAATAAACAAGCAAAAGAATGAAATTAAAACAGGGCCTGTCACAAGTTGCAGAAGGTGATGGCTGACAGTACCTGCCCTCCATTGTCTGTTGAGAATATCCTTGTTGTCCCTCCACACTGCTTCACGTACCACAAAAACCAAAGGGCAGAGACCTCGTGGGGTTCAGAAGTGACATCCACATTCACAAAGAGAGTTGCGAAACTCTTGGCAGCCCTGCAACAAAGACAGGGAAGCCAGCCGATTTAAAAAAGGAATAGGGTGACAATCTTGGTCTTTAGTAGGGGAAAGACTATCTTCGGCAACCTCTTCTTTCACTGAGAGCAAAAGATTCCTTAATTTCAGTTGAAGTAGGAAACAATATCAACTTCTTTCATGCAACATTTTTAAAAAAATGTTAATCATTCACAGCTGTATTCCAGCAAAACCAGGGCCCCAGGAGACACAAAAGCCAATGAAAGCTTATGTCACTTTGTGCTACTAATGCAAAGTCAGCTTGTCACCCTAGACTCAGGATTAAGGGAAACAAGCCCTCCTGTCTTCACCAGACTCCAAAACCACCATGTCCTCCCATGGTTCCTGGGTTACATCCAAGATCTGCAGCTCTGTTTGCACCATAGGGATTATTCAATGTTTGTCATAAAAAAGTTAGGAATCTTGTCTAAGCTCTCTGGATTAGTCAGCATCCCCTCACTGTCTACTTCTCTGCTGTGCTCAGGGAGGGTCCTGTGGCTGGAATGCAACGAGGAAAGAAATGTAAGCAGGAAAGCATAAGTGAAGAGTCAGCATACAAACATTCATGCAAAAGTCTGACAAGAAAAGGGAAAAGATATTTTCTTTTTCTGCTTCCTTTCAATCTTCAAACTTCAAAAAAAAAAAGTGAAATGCGTACTCAAACATGCTATTTCAAGCAGCTGAAGATCTACATAGAAAAAGGGCATCTTCTGTCCTTTCTAAAAATGCAAAAAAGCTGATCCATTTTCTGAAATACAGGTACATTCTGGTTTCATTCTTGACAGCCAAAAATAATACAGAAAATATTTTGTCTGTATAGACACAACCTGTAAAATATGATCAACTCTGAAAGATATTTTGTCTAATGGGAGAATTAGTATATGTATTTATTAATATTCCATAAGCAGAAGGTATTAGATGGTGGTTAAATCCTCCCAGTTTCTGCTGCCTTCTCACATTGCTTTTCAGCATTTCAGTTCCTCAGTTTCTCCTGGTGTCTTTCCTAGAAATGCAGTATGATTTCAACCAAGAGCACTCAGGTATTTCCAGCATGCAATTCTAGCCAAAAGCAAATCTGTACAGTCTGTTAGATGAGAGGAAATAGTAGAAGATTACCCTTCTGGATCATTACCTTCCAGGTTGGGAAGTTTCTACAGTACGTTACCTAAATCTTGAACAAACTGAGCAAATCAAGCTGAGATGCACATACAAAATCTGAAAAGCATCTTGGAATTAAGGGAGGCTGACAGTTACACCAATATTCAGGTAAAATGTCAAGTCTTATTCCATCAGAGTTTGAAAAAATATGACTGTAGTCATGTGAGCTATTGGATATGGAATGACTACCGGTGCGTGGCATTTTGCTAACTTCTATAGTTCCTCACCAAATCAGAGTTTCAGACGGCCAGCAGAACCACGAGCATACATTTCTATTTGGTTTTACTGAATACGTACAGTGATACAAACGAGGCTCTCTATAAGCTTTTCTGCAATTGTTTGAAGCTAAAGCAAAACAACCAGAAGATTAAAAGTTTTTGGACAAGAACCTGTTGTCCGTTAACAACGATCATGTTGCTCTCTAGAGGCTGGCTGAAGCTGTAAAAATGCCCCTGTTGACGACAGCATCACCTTGAGCAGGTGCTAGCGGGCTTCTGCACCGAGCTCACGCAGGCTCGCTGCAGTCGCGTGTCGGGTGCTTAGCAATTCTGAAGAGGTTGCTGTAGACATCAATCTGCTTTACAGCAATGCAGAATTTATGTTGTTGTTTGGTGTTTTTTTTTGCTTCAGTGCGAAGAAAACCAATCAAACTGTTGTTGAATGGCAAGTAAAGAAAAATTGCTTTGATGTATACATAAAAACAGGAAGCATTTCAGTTTCCCTAGGTGGTATATAGTGCAGCAGTTAAAGAATAGAATGATGGGTGTTAAAGTGATTTAGTGCTGTTTCAAGACAAATGTTATTTTTATAGCGCTTTGGTAAAATCAGCTGGTCCAGCACAGAACAAATGTGTGTTGTTCCATCAAAAGTTTGATTCAAAACCTGCTGCAGCCAGAGCATTTTTCTTGTAAAAGTTAAACACACAGTAAAGAGACAGAAAGTGCATATAACAGATGAAGGTACTACCTATATCTTCAGAAGTAACTGTCATAGAATCGTTAGGGCTGGAAGGGACCTTCAAAGGCCATCTAGTCCAACCCCCCTGCAAGGAACAGGGATATCTCCAACTAGATCAGGTTGCTCAGGGCCTCATCCAACCGGGCCTTGAAAAATACGTTCTCCTTATACCTTTAATTTAGTCTAAAAAGTTACGGAAATATACTAGAATCTATTGTGTGTGCTGACAGGTGTCGTGGTCCATTATTACAAGATTTTCTCACCCTATTTCTTTAAGAAGGCTGTATTCTAGAGATAGTTATACCTGTTTGCAAAGCAGTAACGCTTATTTGGAGCTCTAAGGTATATAAATATAAGCTATTATACTTTATATTAAAGAGTTTCTTACTTTGTCCAGCAGATTTTATCAATAAAATCTTGCATAGTCATTTTGTCCCATTCTTCTGCATGTGGAGCCTTCCATGGGGCTTCACTGGGAATCTAAGGAGATACAGAAGAGCATCCCTCAGCAAATGAATGAGTAGCGTAAGAAAGAGACAACCAACAGTCACAATCAATCTCATCTTTACATAGTAATTCAGCCTACAAATTCCTGGCAGGTAATACAGCAAACTTAACAGAAGATGCTTTTAGGTTTTTGTTGTTTATTTGTTTGAAGATTTTTTTTTTTAGATTTAAGAAAAGAGAAAAATTTTAGAGTTAAGAACTTTGCCTAGAAAGGCAAAGTACAGTGCTAGGGAATGTCTCTGAGTTATTCCATATTTCTCCCATTCATCTATGCGAGTAACAGCAACCTCTTCTCAAAGTCTTGTAGCTCAGTTAACGGAAAACACAAACTACTGGTAACAAACTAAAATGGCTGAGCTGAATTTGAGGGTCGAGAAGGACGTACTTTTAAGTCTGCAGGCCTCTTAAAATACTACTTACCCAATCGTAAGGCAAAGTGCTAAACATCACATGCATAAACCCTGATGTTCATACAGCCAGAAAAACAAAAGTATGACTGCAGACAGCCTCAGCAGCATGGCTTTCAGAAAAGCTTGCCAGGATGCCACTTACAACATATGCTTTCACCATCAGTGCGTATCGAAATGCATGGCACAATGCTGCTCTTGCCAGCACCAGGTTTGCTCAAGCCAGAGCAGCTTGGCCTATGTGCATCCTAGTCCCATCTTCACTCTGTCCCTCATGGAGACAAAGTTGAGCTGAGATAGTCAGCTGCAATTCCTCATGCCATACCTCCTTTCCCATTTCATCCATGGTCCTCCATAGGTTGTTGTAGTCCAGGTAGGCCAATGGATTCCACATAGGAGGGAATAGACCTTTAAAGGGGTAAGACTTACCCTACAAGATGAAAAACAAACAAAAACATCATAAAAATTAAATAGCACCATAATCATGGCTTCCATGTGCAGGATGCTGCACCAAACGGTTAAGTGTTCACTGGGAGAAAGTACAAACTAAATCAATACATATAACAGCTTCGGACAGATCATTTCTGTGTGTGCACGTAGAATAACAGGCAATGAGCACAAAATGAAACATGGGAGCTTCTGTCTGAATGTAAGGAAGTACTTTTTCACTGTGAGGGTGACCGAGCACTGGCACAGGTTGCCCAGAGAGGTTGTGGAGTCTCCACCCTTGGAGATATTTGAAAGTTGCCTGGACATGGGCCTGGGCTACTGGCTCTAGATGGCCCTGCTTGAGCAGGGAGGTTGGACCAGTTGACCTCCAGAGGTCTCGTCCAACCTCAAACATTCTGCGATCCTGCTATTCTACACGCACAACCTCAGTGTGATACACAGTTGAATTAAGTCAGCTGTGTGCAGAACTAATACTGTCTTGTGTATTCAAAGCTTCATATTGGGCACTTCTGCGCCCATACTGGCACTGTGCAGTAGAGTCACTAAGATCAGACCAAAGAAATTAGATGGAACAGCACTGCTCAACTGAGATGAAAAACTGGCTATTTGTTACTGAAAAAGAGGAACATGTTATATTTTTTTCTCCTAAATGTTCATGAAAAGACCAAACTGTTAATTGTATTTAGTGGGGTTTTTTTCTTTCAAAATCAGACAAGAATGGCTTTAATGAGCTTTATTATACACTAAAATCATAGCTCAGAGACCTTCCTGGAAAAAAATGGTTTCAGCTAAACTAAAAATTCCCAGCCCTACAGAAAATTTAGCATTCACTAACAGTGACTCTTTCTTCCAATCCAACACCTCTGGCCATAAGTTCCAGACAGTGATAGTGTGGCCAATATGAATGTCCTAATTACATCATTACATATTTAATAGTTAGATTTTATATATCTATATCTCCACTACTAGATATACAGAAAGTCTAGCTGAATTAAGAGTGGAAGACAACAGGTAATTTGTAGAGCTATTTTATTTACATGGGATTTCTCTGGCCGACTATATAGATGGCAGCACAATAGCTTTTAAAATTCACAAAGAAATGCTCATTAGTATTATGTAGTTACTCATTTTTTTCATAATGCATTCTGGACTCCATAAAATGGATAAACAATAAAGGCCATATTGTGTGTCATAGCTGATTTTTCAAAGCTTATGTTAAATTATGTATTTAAGTGGGCACTGCATCAGTATGAATGTCAATTCGTAGAAGTACTAACTTTTAATAAATATTTGATGTAGTGCCACACCAACTCATCACTAAAAAAAAAATATTTACACTGGCTTCAAAAGAAATACTGCATTAAGATTTAATATTTAGAACCAGGAAACAACAACACTGTGTCTTGTTGACAAGTGTCTGAAGACCACTTATTCGAAAAAGTATGAGGCTTGATTTGATTTAGCCTCTTTATTAATAATGTGAGAGAAGGAACAGAGAGTATATTATTCAAATCTGCAGGTGTTTGCAAGCACTAGAAGAAACAGTGAAAGGGTACAAAGGGATCCTAAAAGACTTAAAATTTGGTCCAGAAATAACAAATGAGATACAACTTTGAAAAATGCGGCTAATAACTTTGAGGACTTCTAATTCAAAGTGAGGGACAGTTAGAAAGCAGTTAAGGAAAAAAAATCAACCCTAAGGATAAGAATAAGAGAAAACTGGTTTACAAAAAAAAATAACAGAACAGGTTAGAGAAAGTGAAAACGAAACGTTTTTTTCACTGTCATGGGTTAGGCCGCTCCAGCTACCGAACCCACACAGCCGGTCACTCACCCTCCCCCACCCCCAGGAATGAGGGAGAGAATTAAAGGAGAAACGGGAAACCCGTGGGTTGAGATAAGAACAATTTAATACAGATGATTTAATACACAGTGTAGATGCTCACCACCCCCTCTTATCCGCAGCCCGTCTTGTCCTGAGGCTGCAATCCCAGATGAACGCGAGGCCCCGAAATAGAGAGGGGCAGAGAGAGAGAGATAGTACTCCGAGAGTGGGAGTACTGGGAGAGAGAGGAAAAAAAAAAGGCAACAGAGCAAAAGTGCAGAAGCGCAAAATAGCAAAAGCGGTGAAAGGGCCAAAGCGCAAAAGCCCTTCTGTCCGGCTGTCCCTCACTTTTATACTGGGCATGACGCTGCACGATATGGGATACTAATTGGCCAGTTTGGCCCCCAATCTTAAGTTCCACCACAAATCACAAGGGGAATCATGGCCCCCTTGTCCCGGCTATGCTTCTGCACTCCGGCACACTGAAAAGTCCTTGGAATCTCATGTCCAACCACAAACATCAGCTTGCTATCAACATCCTTCTCAGAGCGAGCCTCTGAGTAAAACCAAAACACGGAGCTCTTCTAGATGCTAAAAAGAAGAGCTAACTCTGTCCCAGCTAAAACCAGGACATTCACCTAGTCTTTGTATGGACTCAGGACTAACAGAATCCTTGTCAGAAACACCAAGGTAATGAAAGTTTGGAAGAAGTTAAAGCGTGGAAAGAATGGAATTAATTCTTTGGTATATGGACATATAAAGAAGTAGCCGCAAAACAGCAATTTCATTTTGCAGTGCTTTTGAGGAGACATTATGGTTTGTAAAATACCAGAACATCAAATTTTTAAAAGTTTTCAATCAGAAGTTTTGTCATAGCCAGGGTAGATCTCCAGTCACTTCATAAGCCAGAGGTACCAAGGTTGAAAGCTTAGCATTTCTAATTTAAGAAAGGACATCACAGAACATGTTCATAAGTACTCTAGAAAATAGAGAGGGTGTGGGTTTTTTGATTCAGCATGGAACAAAGTGCATTTCTACAGCTCTTGTGCTCAACCACATGAAAATACATTAAATTGGAATCAGGAAAACACATCTGTGTAGATGGAGATGAACTCCATGAGTTTGTCTCATAAGAAGCATTTAGTCCTGATGTTTGGGTACTAGTATGGCATCTCTTAACTTGAAATTAATTTGAACTGGGGCACACCTTCATAATCTGCTGCCAAAAGGCTGTGAAAGAGCAGCACAAGCTCTCAGACTGAGTACTGTCCCAGCTAGTAACATCTGAACCATGTTGGTAATTACCTTTTAGCCCTTTTGGGCACATTAAAATTCCATAACTAACTCCTATGGCAGCAAGGAGTCAGTTTTACTGTGCTTTCTTCTGAACACTGGGGCCACCCTTCACTAGCGTAAACCCTGTGCAGGTATTCCCAAGACAGAGCATATCAGTTTGGTTTGAAGTACTTAGTATTGCCCAGATTTCAATTTATGAAACACGTATACTGCTGTGCTCAAGAAAACCAGGACAGCATCAGAATGGGCCATTCCAATCACTGATTTTGTTCTGAGCTTCCTGCACTGCCAGAGGCAATCCTAAGTTGAGTTATCCCCTCTGAGTTAACTCAAGCCTTTACGAATTTCCTGTGGTGCTTCCTCCTGAGCATATGGCTCAGAGACACACAGAACATGTCTTTGTTTTAGTATTCTTCTATTTCACTGCATTTGAACAGCCGAAAGCGAAATCTTGGGTATGTCTCTTGTGCAAAAATCTGGGGTGACAAGTCTCACAAAGAGCAAGAACAAACTTCGACCTGTGAAAGCTACTTTCAAGAGCTGCTAAGACATTACCTAAGGCCTGACTCTTATTTCCTACACAGATAAAACTCCAGGAGCTGTCAATCAGAATTTTGTTTGAGAAGAAACTGCAAGACTAGGCTCTATGCAAACACAAAAACAGCAGCACCAAAGAAAGCCTAGACATAGCTCTGAGTAGTTTCCAACAAACTGAAACATTTCAGCTCTATTTCTGATGAATTTGCACTTTTGCAAAAACAACAACCTTATTGATATTTAGGCAAAATTTACCTATTTCTATCATATTGCTGGGAATAGCATTCTCCATACCTCCTGGTGCTGTATAATCTCTAAAGAAAAACAAGACACAGATGAAAAATATATCCCAAGATGCACAAAACATCTCCTTTTCAAATATTTTTTATACCTAAATCAGAGCACTATAAAACCAGCAATAATAACCACCCCTTCTGACCACTTGACATGACATTTCAACACCAGTACTGTAATACTCAGAAATATTTCTTGCTTTTTTTTTTTTTAGGGCTTAGTGGTATTTAACACAGGCATATATTTATTTTTAGAAACTGCTTCATGCTGCCATTTGCGATGCTTCCAAAAGCAGAACACCAGCATCAGCAGCTGGAGGTCTACCTGCTATTGTATGGGCCACTTGCTGCGCACAAAGGCTGTTGCTGCACTATGAGCTAAAGCATACTGAAGAAGTTGAAACTATCGGGAGGAAATTTATGCAACCAGCTGTCTCAGGAATAAAGAAACAGGGAAATGAGAAATCCAGTGTTTGTCACAAATATTACAATTCTCAAGAGATTTTCTCAACCATCTGTTCCACGTCAACCAATGTTTGGCTTAGTTACACGGGACCCATGTAATGTAAGTAATATAGAAATAAACTTTCTACATATATCAGTCCTCTTTCAGGTCAAGTAGCTGACATAAGTGGGTTATTACAGGGGGAAAAAACAGCAGGGCAACTGAATAGTTTCTCCTGAGAGGATGAGGGTGAGTGAATGGTTAGCTGAAAAAGGACATGCTCTGCCAGGAAATACCATTAATAGCTCAATGCAGAGTGGGATCTCAGGAGAAAGTCTGCTTTTGCAGGCACAAGATAACTTCATGCTCCCCTAAACGTTATACACCCAGGGACCGTACGAGTGGGATGCAGTATTGTGAACTGAAGCCCCTGGTGCCTGTGATCTATTCATTTTTTATAGCATGGTATAAACATCTTATAAATATAGTCAGCTTTCATTGGAAGAAACGAGATGGTGTGGTGCATTCTCTGCATCACTGAATGAGCACAGGTATTCCCTCAGCTAAATCGTCTAAACCTTGGA